AGTGCTGTTGCACGTGGGAAGCAGGAGCAGCCCCACCCCCTTGCCCTTGCATAGGGTTGGCAGGGGTGCCCCGGCTGTAGGGGGCCGGGGCACGCACCCGGTGCTGTCCGCAGTCGCCCTGCCCCGCCCCGCCCCGCTCCCTTCTGTGCTGGGGTTGCAGAGAAGGCTGGTCCGTTGGGGTTCTGCCCCTCTTGCTGCCCGGCCTTCTCTTGGTGTCCCTCTCCAGCCACCTCTAGGGTCACTTTCACCCTGTCCCCTCACTCTGCAAGGTCAGCTAGCTGCCCCCCTCTTCTCCGCCCCCCCCCCCCGCAGCCAGAAGCAGGACATTGAGTGCCGTCGGGCCCCTGACCGTCATTCGTGGCGGGTTTGGGGCTTTGGGTCCGTTTTGTTATTGTCTTCTGTAGAGTTTGGAGCACGGATTGTATGGGGTGGATTGGAGAGGGATGGACCTGCCTTGGGCAGGGGATTGGACTAGATGGCCTCTGGGGGTCCCTTCCAGCCCTGCTTCTCTGGGGATGTGTGGTTCAGTAATGCATTCAGAGGAGGTTCTTGTTAGCTTCTAACTCTGAATCTCTCTTTTCCCCCTCCAGCCAGGTCTGAAGCTCTCCAGATTTTTGCCTCCAACTTTGTTGCTTTTTGCAGTGGCACTGGGGTACCCTGGAAAAGCACCAACCTTCCTGCTACTTGGTGCAGACTTGCTGGCACCTCTCCAGGATGTGGGCCCAAAAGGACTCCAGTAAGTTTTAGGGGCTTGGGATTTTATTATTTTTGGAAGTTTAATTTAATTGTAAAAAACAAAAACAAACAAAAACACAGAACGGCAAGGAGAACTTGGTGTGGTTGATGGTCGCCGAACCTCTGCAGCATCAGAGTCGTATCGTCTCCTGTTTGTGTTGACTCTGTACACATTACCCTCTGGATTCTTCCTTTGTTAACGTTAGCATGCAATAGAGATGGCTTAAAACAGCAAATAAAACTAAACCGCAGCAATTTATACTTACTTTTGCAGAACCGGAGGCGGGGTGTGTGTGTGTGTGTAGTAATGAAAATGAATGACTTGGTCAAAAACACCAATCTTTTAGCAGAAGCATAGTTGTTTTTCTCCCTCCAAATGTTATAACAAACCAGTTTCTGCCATGTAATGTAAAATCTATTAGGCATACTGAAACCTTCTTTCCTTGGGGTCCAGTTACTACTTTTTATTATCTTTAATAGTTTTTTTTTCTGCTACAGGGGCAGGATGCCTGGTGAGTTCTGCTGTTGAGGATTAGCAAGGACTTGGGAGCTGCCTGCATAAAATGTAGCTTTCTTTGGAGGGAAAATATCGTTTTGGATTAACTGGCAAATGGCTTTGAAAGTTGTTCCCTCTGTGGTAAAAGCATTTGTTAGGATTATTTCAATAAGACAAAGTCTCATTCCCCTGCTTTTGGAAATGGCAGGCATTCAGTACAGCTAAGTACAATGAACAGAGCTTGTAAAATACAAAATCCAATCACCTCCAGATTTTTTTACCTGCTTTTTTTTTTTTTTCTTTGAAACTACCTAGGAATTAAATACCCAAATTTATTGAATATTAAGGTTGTGAGATTGAGGACCTGGTGGTTAGGAAATTTCAAGAGATAAGGTTTTTGTGGTCATAGATTGTAGAGTCGGAAGGGACCAACTAGAATGGTGTTCACCATGCATTCAACTCTATAAATACAGGTATGCAGGTAAAATGCAGGTTCAGGCCTATAAATACAGGTAAAATGTCAGCCATCTAAACTCCAGCACATAGCAGTCAAAAACAAGAGGCATGATGCTCCCGTCAGTAAAGAAATGCAAAAGTTGTGGTATACAGTAAATAAGAGAGAGCACAAGGATTTTCTATTCTGTGATGGTGTGTTGTGCATTGACCCAGAAGAGAGTAAAAGGAGGATGCTGAGTGAATTAGTTCCACAGTGCATGCCAAAATATTGGGGGAGAAGACTGGGTGAATAGGTGTAATTTATTATATACTATACCAGCAATATGGAAAGATTCAGCACTTTTCTATGTGATATGCTGGGGGAATTTACAAAAAATATAAAATGAAAAATGACTGGTTGCTGGTGGTTTCTTTCACTGGACAGGCACATGCGTGCATACAGCACTACATCATCATTTGACTCAACACGTTGGGAAGAGATTTACTCAACTACAGAGTGTAGAGTCTTCAATAATCCAGACAGTGCAGGAATCCTCTATATGGGTATAGCAAGGCTGGGAGCTGAAAGAAGTAAGCAAGTCACTCTTTATTTTGATCTAGCCTTTAAAAGGAGAGGTTGCAGCCTAATTGGCTCCTAAACTCTTGAAATGTCTCTGGGACAGCAAGAATGGTCAGTTCAGAATCTCTGGCTCTAATATAGGAATACTTGGAACCTGATATTTCAGCTGGGAGTGAGTGCCTGGAAAGGGTGGTAGAGGAAAAGGAGTTGGGGAGAGACTTGGAGTTGTGACATGTGGAAAGGAGATCAGAAGGGGGCTATAGAGTTGAGAGGGATAAGTGGAGGGGAGAACGGTTTGAGGGACTCAGGCATGCAAGAATGGGTGGCAGTTAAGACATGGGGTGAAGACAGCAACCTGTAAGCTCCATGTTTCCCATTTCTTTTTGAAGCAGCTGCCCTCTCTTCTATGACCAACCTGGCTTCAACAAGGGGAGCCACGTGAAATGCCTTTAGTGGCTATGTACCAGACAAAGGACAAAAAGGAGGAATGGGGCTTGTTTCAGAGAGTAAGCCAGTGCCAGCAGGGATTCTGCCTGACACAGGATCTGAGGCAGTGTATCTCAACCTTATTAGACTCAAGGCACCCCTCTATAACTTTTTTGAATCAAGTATTACCCCATTTAAAAAACTAATTAATCTATTACCTTGCTTGTCTTGTTGCAGAGGGGCCAGGTAGTGGGGGGCAGAGAAGTGGCTAGGCAGGGAGAGCCTGAGCCTGCCCCCATCTGCTTTTCTCCTTGCACTTCCTGTCACCCTTCAGAGGATCTTTCTTTAAAGGATCTTGTGACATTTCGTGCTGCCCCTGCACCCTGGTTGGAAATCGCCAGTTTAAGGCCTTTCTACTGTCCCTGCCATGCTTTAGTTAGGCTACAGTATGGCTATGGAATATAGGCAGTACTCAGAAGTGTTGTTTGAGGCTGTATTCCATCCGCACGTTTGTGGCCAATTCATACTTAGGGGCTCCTGTGTTTCAGGTGGATGAGTAAAATCCCCTTCCCCATATACTAGGCCCACATGGTAGGGGCTCAGCATCTCCAGTCTCCTGGCCATTCTTCTGGTATATGTACTTTTTCTAGGTTCAACCTCTCCATGGCCTTTGCCAGGCTACCTGGGGCATGGCATAGCAAGGACAAGAGTGCAGCTGGTTTATGCTTAGGAAAGGGGCTGTGAATCAGAGAGGCAGGATAAGTGGGTCCAGGGTAGCAGGTTTCATTGTCAGAGAGGGTGTCACAGAAGGAATAATGGAGGATCTGAAGTCTGGTGAGGGATTCATAGCAGCTGGAGGGCCCAGAGTAGTGAGTAGTAATGTGGACAGATGGAAGATAGAGTTGAAAGGGGAGGGTCAGAGTGGTACAGTGGGAGATGCTGACTGGGGAGCATCTCCCCCTCTTGAAAAAATACAACATCTCCACTGACAGCTAGTGCTAAAACTGCAGGTCTAAGAGATGAGGAGAAATACAAGTCTCTTACTTGACCGCTCCTCCACCATGCAAAGACAGGCTGACAAAGGAAAACCATTCTACGGTGCAGAGGGAGAGAGATGACAAGATTATGTAAGGTCTTTCATGCAACCAGTATATTATATTCTATAGATGGGATTGTTAATGCCAAGAAGTCCTGTAGGGAAAGAGCTGAATTAGGATATCTGGGAAAGCAAAGTTTAGTTCAAAACACAAAGAATTAAGGTGCCTATATATAGATATAGATATATAATCTCACAGTTAAAGCTGCCCAGAAATGCCTCATGCTCTTTTACAATGGTGAAATGCTGAATGAATAATGGTTTGCAGTCTTGTAAAATAGAAAAAAACTAGTGTTCTCTGAGATGGATGTGATGCTACGGTATGGAAGTGCAGCATGACAGTGTCATATTGTGACTGAGCAGTTTCCTTAGTAAGGGCTTGGAAGGCAGTTTATTCTGTTTCTTTGGAGTAGATACGCCTTCTAGGGGAATTGCTGACCAGCTAAACTGGTGACATGGACATGTAGGGCTGTGCGAAACCGTTGTGTTTCGTTTTGGTTTTGGATCCGGCGTTTCAGAGGGACAGTGATTCATTTCAGTGTTTCGGATCGCTGTTTTGTTTCAGCTTAAACTGTTTTGAAACATTTTGAATTTTGATGCTGTTTTGATGTTTTGGCTGTAGGCTATAATGGGGAATCACAGAACTGCCTATAACTTTGTCATTTCTTGCCTGATTCAGATGAAACTTGCAGGGATGCTATCCCTTTCTGAGGCCATCCATGAAGCTTGCCAAGGAGATAGGTGGAGGTTCCCAGAATCCCCTGCACCTCAAACTGCTCAAAGCAAAACTTGACACGCGTGTGTGTGTTAAGGCGAAGGATGAAAATTACAGTGATGGTAGCTGCTGCTCTCATCCTCACAACTCCACTGCAACCAGTAAGCCTAAGGCCTCCCAAAGATCTTACAGGTCTGGGCTTTCCTCAGCCAGGGCTGTGCGGTGGCTGGAGGGTATTGGGTGCTTCCTACCTACCTTTCACCAGGGAGGTTCACAGTCCTGGCATTTCCTGGGGCTGCCGTGCCACCAGCAGTCCCACCCAGGCCTCCCTACCCTGGCAAAGTGCAGTTTTAGGTCATGCCCAGAGTGATGTGGGGCCTCCTCCTCCCCATACAGCCCCAGCCCTTTTACCTCCAAGTTCTTCCTGGCACAGGAGCTCAGCAGGGAGATGTTCTTCCCTTGCTGGCTGGTGAGAAACTAAACTGCCACCTTCAGCTCTGAGAGCAGGGCATTAAATCCCTGCCCTCATTTGCACCTGTCCTGCCACGTACATAGCCCCTTGTGTGGGCATGAGGCCTGCCAGGTTTCAGGCAGAGTGGTGCAGGGGTTTCTGTAAAATTGCACCTCAAACTGATGAAAGCAAAACTTGTGTCACTTGTGTGTGTTAAGTGGTGTAGGTTGTAGCCGTGTTGGTCTAAGGACATAGCCCAGACAAGTTTCTTAGGTAAATCTGATATCTTTTATTAGGCCAACTGAATAGTTGGAGAAATTCTTCTTTGCTAGCTTTTGGGTTTAAAAACCCTTCATTAAGTTGAGGAAGCATCTGCAGTTGCTGTGTGTACTGTTCCTGGATGGAAGGACTAGTAAAGAAGCCAGAGGTTGGCATGCAAGGCAGGCAAAAAAACCAGATAGTGAAAATGTAAATTGAGGCATCAGGGGGTGAGAGACAGGCTGGGGGGCAGGGGTAGAAAGGGGATGTAGCAGGTAAAAGTGGAGAAGTGCCTGCTACCTGGGGAGTCAGATGTCAGGCAGGTTGTAGTGTGTCATAAATCCAGTGTCTATATTGAGTCCTTGAGGTTCTGTATCTAGGATGTTGATGAAGTGAAGTTCACAGGCCCGTCTGAAAAGTCATCTGTAAATTCCCTTTGAGAATCAGGACTGAGAGACTGGAGACAGAGTGGTTTTCTTCTGAGAACTGTGCCCCCACAGGTACTAGGGCTGTGTGAAATATCGCCAGCTGTTTTATTTTGACGCTGTTTTGACTCGTTTTGAGCTTGAAACAGCAAAATTGAAGTAAAGCAAAGGGCTTCAAAACAGCCCCGAAATGAAACGAGGGCAGTCGAAACGTTTTGAAAGTAGGGATAAACACAGCTGCAAAATCGCACAGAGCAGTTCACAAACTGCCTTTTATGGTGCTTCTCTGTCCTCCCCTAGAGCACTGGGACTTGAAGGGACCTCAGGGACAGATCATTTTCACTGGCCAGTTAGAGATGTCAATATCAGAGCAGGGGAATACCCTTCCCCTCTTTTTAGTTTCTCCTTCCCTGCAAGCCTGCCTCTGAAACATTTCTGAAACATTTCGGATGGATCTGTTTCATTGCGGAACCTTGCATTTTGTTTCATTTTGGATTCAGTGTTTCGGCCACCGAAACATCCAAATCAGAAATGAAAAGAAACGTCCGCCAAAATTTCATGCAGCCTTAATGGACAGTAGACTGGCTACTTGTGTGTCAGTAGGAACTTCCTCTTCTGTACACCCAAGCCTATGGATGCCTTTCCTGCCTCCATCTTAAAAGTCCATTTAACTTTATTGACAGTGCCTACCATCTACCAATAATCAGTGTATTTCAGGGCAAGGGAAGATTTAGGAAGAAAGGGTTTCAAACAGAGGTTCGAATAAAGTGGGCCCAGCCACATGCCAGTGTCATGGCATGAAAAGGTGTTGTGCTGCTGTCTTCAGACAGAAAGCTGGTATGCCACATACTCCTCATTTCTTCTCCCCAGTCCAAGGTAGTGTACCTCATTTTCCAACTTAGTTTTCTTTAGATATAGGCGCCCACAGTCAGTGGGATTTTGGTGCCTAAGGGTGCCTGTACACAAATGTGGAGGCTGTTCCAATGTGCTGGAATTCCAGTGTGTCAGAGCAGACTTAGTCAAGTCTGCTGGAGTGTTGCAATTACTGCGCTCTAGCAGCCTCCTGCATTCTCATATATCAGTATCCCCATGATTAAAAATGGTGATGGGGGCACTTGAATTAAAGCTTGTCAAACCAGCTTTAGTTCAAGCGCCCCTGCCACCATTTTTAAGCACAGGGATGCTGATACAAGAGACATGGCAGTGCTTTAATTAGGGTGGCTCTTGGAGCACACGTAAAAGGGCCCTAAGTGTTTGAAAGACAGCTCTTGGTCATTATTAATGGGTACTATTTCTTCATGCTTTCTGAAGGAGAAAGGCCAGTACCTCCTTAGTCCTGGTTTGGAAAATGGGTTTACTACTGGGGAGGGGAAAGCCATGGTTAGCACATGCAGTATGAAGCAGCAGCTCACTGGGTACAGCAGAGTGAGCTGTTGCTTGGACTTGGGCATGTCAGAGAAGAGATTAATTTCAAGACACGTGATATTATCCTTTTTCCTTTGCAGATTCCCATAGCTTAGCTACAAAGTATACAAAGAAGGCATGTTATATAAACTGTTTCTTTTATTTTAATGGGATTCTCTTACTTTAATTTTTTTGTATTTCTAAGGGAATTGGTGCTCTGTGGGTGGTTTGCTTGCATTTGTAAGGGGAGATGTCACAAATAGGGTGTCTTGGGCCTAAACCTTAGATTGTAGGGTATTGACCAAGGTATCGTCTCTTAGCAAAGTGTGTTGCAAAGGCAGTGGCAGGCACCTGCTAGGGGAGATATTGAAAGACCAATGAGCATATTTGAATTGGGGGTGATCAGAGTGATAACCCCTCTTCTTTGCATGAGTCTAAAGCAGCTTGCCTCTATCAGGGTGGACAGTTATTTCAGGTGGAGGGCCGCTTACCGAGTTTTGGCAAGCTGTTGAGGGCCACATGAGTAGCTCCACCCCTTGACAGGTGCCCTGCCCCTTGGTCGCCATCTTTTAACTGGAACTGACCTTTGCCACCAGATGTGTGTTCCCTTTCCCCCCCACCCCCCCCCCCCCCTCCCTCGTATTCCTTTCAACAAGGGGTTTGGCCATCTCAGAACTAGAAAAATACCAAACTGTAGTCTAAAAAGTGAACATCTACAACATTTATTAATTGATTAAAAAATATTTTGGTCCTGGTTTACATGTGTTCGCCTCTGGGCTTCTTGCAGGCTCAGATCAAGTGTAGTGCACATAGAGGTGATTATATATAATAGCTTAAAATGAAGTCACGCTCTTGTATGTTGTGGGGGGGGTATAAGTTTGTTGGGGGGTATGGGGTGTGGGTGTGTGTGGGGGAGATAGGTGTTGTGGCTGTGGGGTGAGGGATCATGTGGTTGTGTGGCTCTGAGGTGTGGGTGGGTATGTGGCTTGTGGGGGGCTGTGGGAGGAAGGTGGCTGGAGGGTGTGGGGGTCTGCATGTATGGCAGTGTGAGGGGGGGTGTGGGTGCATGTGTGGGACTCACCTTATTAACACACACACACACACACACACACACCCGGGGTACTGGTGCGGGGCCATGCGGTACTGGAGCAGTGCAGAGGCAGGAAGGCAGGAAAATGGCTGGGGGTGTGGGGGTGGGGCAGGACTGGACTGCTCAGTCCTGCCAGCTCCCCTGGGTCCTACTGCCCCTGACTCCTGTCATCTTTGACAGGTAGCCAGGAGCAAATAAATATTAATTTACTAGATTTTTTTAGGGGCCCTGCAGGCCAAATAGAATGGCTTGGTAGGCTGGATTTGGCCCGCAGGCCATATTTTGCCCTTCTTGCTCTATGTGGAATCAAATCCCCAGGGTAGTAGGAATGGAACTTTTTCCCCCTCACTATTTGATGTACATTTCTGTATGCCTATTGAAATCCATCCCTGCCTCTCTTTATTCCAGTGCTCCAATGAATATTGTGGTATTTCACTAGGAAAATCTGGTTACCCTAGGTGTGGTGGATAGGACAATGGGAATTTTTTTTTCTCTGCTCTGTTCAGTCAGGGGTTGATTAACATTCTGTAACTTCAAAACAAGGTAGAGCCATCCCAATAGGCATAGAATTTGAGAAGGGCAGGAACTCTTGAGCAGCTTTGTCAAGCAATCAGAACAACCACCATTTCATAAGTTCCAGGACATATTTACATCTGATGTATAGTTGTCCCCCTCATCCTCCCCGCATTCCTCCTGCCTTGTTTCTAATATTGCCTGAAAGCTTTAAAAATACATTTTGCATACATACTTATTCGTGACCATCTATGACAGCCAGGCCCCAGTGCTTTCTCATCCTCTTCTTTCGATGAATCACAGAAGCTATGGGTTTTCTTAGTCACTGGTAGTAGGCGGTGCTGGTTTAGAGTATGCTGCATGTAGCTTAGAAGCAGAATTCTATAGAAGTTGTTAGAAACTGTCTGGCAAGTTGAAGTCAAAGATTTTGAGAGACTGGTATAGCTTTTTCTTTGTTCTTTTGTGTATGCCAGGGTGTCAGCAACACATGCTTAGTGTTGAACATAACAGGGTTTTTTAAGATGCTTGTGCAATCAAAGGTGATCAAGTAAACATTTATTAAGCTGATTGAGGGAAAAAAATTTAGACTGGGAAGACCCTAATTCTGAAAACAGTGATTAGTATACACTTGAGCCCACAGTGAGCAGAGAGCAGTTTAAGTTTGGATTAGGTTGAATCTTCATTCAAGTGGTCAGAGAGCAGGATTTTTTTTTCTTTGGTTGGGATTTTTCTGTTGTTACTTGTTCTTGTAATGAAGGTGAGGCCCTATCTAGTTGGTTCCATAGGGCCTAGCTAAAATCCTTTTGGCACAAAGCAGAAGAAATAAGGTAGCCTGCCAGGGCTTTGTTTTGCTAATTACTTCTGATACTTGCTCATTCAGCTGCATTGTGTACTGTACTTCGGGATGAATTAATGTCACATTCTTTCTCTGCCAAATACAAGTTTTATAATGATTATTAAAGATCAGGACCTTTCTGATCAGGTCATAAAGGGGGTGGTGGTTCTATGAAAAACATTTTTAAATCCCTGTGCTCAGGGGGATCTACCAAACACCTTTGGGAACAAAAATTTATAAGATGGATGGACTGATCAACAAGACTGATTTTTGTGATGCACTAATCTACCTGATTACTGAAACTTTTCCTACACACTACAGGTGATAATGACCCTTTCCTTTTGATAGGTGTTGACATCCCAATAATCAAGCTTCTTTATTTTCTAATAATTGTCTGTCTTTTACCCCCCTCCCCTGGGAAGCTATCACCTGTTCAATTTGACAGTTCTGTGCAGTGTTCTTACCAATCACTTTGCTTGCGTTTCTCCTTAGGCCTGATGAACAATGCCTTGTGTTCAAAAGCTTGTCTAACTATATCCCAACTATGCAGTTCATCTGATAAAAGATATTAACCCCCCAAATCCTTGCTGTCTGCTTAATTCTTACAACATCATTCTAGTGCCACCATTCTTTGAGCTGAGATGGACAGGATCAGGAGAGAAGCAGACTGTACTCCCTGCCCAAGTGCTGGGGTACCAGGTTTAAGTAAGGTTTACCTAAATCTGGAGGAGACTGCTAATTATCAGTAAGACATAGGTCTTTTTTGTTGTTCTAGTTCTGCCTTTCTATTTACTTCCGTGTTTCTGTGGATAAACAAAGGTGGCTGGAGTATTTTCCTAGTGATTTGCAGGCTCACACAAGTAGAGGATAAACCCATTTGGACTAGATGAAGAAACATCACTGGTGAACAGGGATGCTATAATCTGGGGACCTAATCCAAGAGTGGGGTGAATTGTGGTGTTCCACTTGGAGGGAAGGACAGACATTGGCTTGTCACTTGAAAGGGTTGTCCACAAAGAAAGGTCACAGGTACAATTTATCCTAAACTATGATCAGTATTTCCTAATTCGGGAGAATTGATTCCTAAATTTAAATAGCATTCTTTTAGAATACATTGTATGCAGAAAAACAAATACAACCCTCCCCCCAAAATTGCAATTTGAAATGAAAGATGTTTTTCATGTGTTTAGTTTCAAAGGTGTAAATCTCTGATTTGAGCAAGAGTCTGAAAGTGAACTTTTGGAGGAAAAGGGAGAAGTGACTGAGCAAAGGTGCAAGAGCATCAGAGAAAAAGAATAACTAGTGGTGAGACCTGAGGAGGAAAGAAGAGTGACCAGGAAAACTAGCAAGGTGAGTAACACATGATCCTGCTTGTTTTGGAGATTTAAAACTTTAAAGAGTTGTGTTCTTCCCATTCTCGTGGAAGGATTTCCATCAGTGGATCAACATTAGACAAGTGACTTGCTGTTGCCCACACTGGGAACTAATTATCAATAAAACACTGTACTTGTAGGCCTTTTCATTGTTCTAATTCTGCCTCTAATTACTTCTGTGTTTCTGTGGATAAACAAAGAAGGTGGCTGGAGTATTTTCACGGTGATTGCAGGCTGTTGGTAGTAGAGGATAAGCTCAGCTGGACAACCTGAAGAAGCAACACTGGTGACCAGGGATGCTGTAATCTGGGGACCCAGTCTGAGAGTGGAGAGTAGAATAACTGTGACTAACAGTTAATATAGGTTTCCTCTTGCTTCCTGTAATTGTGCTAAAAACTATTTTTTTACCTTGTTTTTTGTCTCGTAAGCAACGCAGGTCATTTAGCCCTGAGCTGTTACTGAAAAAGTTGCAGAATGCCATCGTAGACATTGGGTTAAGATTCTAGTATCTGTACAGGTCCCTGAGGGGGGATGATATTCAAGGGATGCATTTGCAAAGGGAGGTACAGTTAATTGGTTCACATGTGCAAGTAGGGATTTTCAGGGAGAGCGGGCCCAATGCATCAAAGAACTAATAGCCTTCTTTTTTTCTTCTTGGACTAAAAATGCCTGAGTTTGGATATGCTATCTTAACATGGGCAGGTGCTAACTTTTAATTCTATGACAAAAAACCATACATATCTGCTGCAATATTATGGTCCAATCTGAAAAGCTTTAAAAAAAAAAATCAACGTAATGAATAGAATTGGCCAGACAAACATTTCTTTTCCTGGTGGTGTTTCCATGGCTTTCTGCACAAAGACAATTCAAAGCTGCCTCTTTGGAAGTTGAGAGAGAACATGTTTATCAGTAAAACCATGTGAAAACTGAGGCTGTCATCTTCACGGCAATTAGCAGAGTATTTAGATGGTACTCTGATGGTACTACTGTTCTGAGTACAACAGAAGCCCTAGAGGAAAAATTCCCTGGAGATCCAAGGAGTCAAACCTGCAAAAGTGTCAAAGTGTTTACCTGTAGAGGTAAGGCCCAGAAGAAAGTATATATGAACCCAGATAGTAAGTGTGTCTACATTGCGTGCTTGGTCTGTTTTGGATACAACACTCCTGAGCATGCTTCACTGACCTCCATCTTGCACCTGACCAAGCCAGAAATGCAGCGGTGAAGCTTCTCGGGAGGTGTCATCCCTCCATCCATGGTCATTCTCCAGACCTCTGTCTCTGGTATTCTTGAGCGTAGCTACAAAGGAGGTGCAGTAAATGTATTCAGATGAACAGGGAGAGTGATTTATGGAAGTTTGATAGATTTTCTTACGTAGATTGATCTGAATCGGGCAGAGTGGTTTTTGTGGTGCATCAGCAGCAGGGGGGCCTCTGCCTGCATTCCTGTTCAGGCCCAGCAGCTGGGAACCTCACCTGTGCTGCAGCTGCTTCTCTCAGCCCCCTTCCCTTCAGCTGGGGCATGAGTGCGGCTTTCAGCAAGTGGGGAGCTGTGCTGGGGCCAGGCAGCTGGAAGATACGGTCATGCTTCTTCACTGCAGCTGGGAGACCGGAGGAGAGGGGAAGGAGATGCAGCGGCAGGAATCAAAAACTTTGAAGGAAGGAAATACTGTTTAGAAGTGTTGCAAAATTAAGTGCTTTCTGTTACATACTTGTGCTCTATAGAGCATGTGGAATGCTGGTTTCCCAGAATCCCACAGTGCTCTGCTCTTGGCATTTTGTCAGTGAGTGCTCTCCTGAAGTGCCCCTGCCACCTCCTCTTGCTGAAACTGGGAGACCCTAGAACTCCACTTGCACCCTTCAGACCTGCCACCAAAACTGGGAGACTGGAGGCCCTGCCCTGTACCTGGAAGCAGGTTGCAGAGCTGCACTGACAGCTCACTTTACTCCCCCCCCGCACAGAGTGAAACCTTAGATTGCTGCAATCCCCCATTGCATCACTTGCCTACAGAGCATTCTACTGCATACTGCTGCAGCAGCTTTGAAGTGCTTCAGCCAGAGATCTTGATAGGGGACTGTACCTCTGGCTGTGGCTGAAATGCTCCAATTTTTAAGTTTCAGAAATTGCGCCTGTGCTGAACCTTGGTGGACGTTTGTGTATAGACCTGGAGTAGGCCATCCCTGGTACGTGTGCCGAAGCATGGCACGCAAAGGCATTTCGTTTGGCATGCGTGCCTCATGGCAGATAGTGGGAAGGTGGCTGGGGCCGCACTACCACAAGAAGGTTTGGGCTCCTTGCAGCTCCTCTGCCACCCACCCTGGCACACCACCATCTTACAAGTCAAACTTGTGGGTGTTTTTGGCACTCTGCCCAAAAATATTGCCAACCCCTGGTATAGGCTATCTTATTTCTAAATAGAACTTAGGTTAGTATGGGATCAAAATGGCTGCGTTCATGTTTTTCTCCAGAATAAAAGTATTATAATTTTAAACAGGACTAACATTCCTCCAGTCATGAAGACCATGGCCATGTGGCTCTTGAAATCCCTTCCAGCTCTATGATTCTAAATTGATTGCTCGTGTGGTCTGAGTTTTTGGACATTTAGAAATACATTCTTATCATGCCACATGCAGACTTTTGAGACAGCCTTTCACAGTGTTAGAGCAGAATGAGCCCCATAGTTAACGGCATAGATAAACTGGATGAGAGAGTATATTCTTGTTTAGACAGGAAGAGAATATTTTTGTACCTGATTTTTTTTTTTTTCCCCCCCCCTCCATTTCTTTTAGATGTCATCTTTACCTAGGAGAGCAACGTCTACAGCAAAACCAGTGATCTTGGAAGAGGATGAATTACCTTCCTTTCTTAAATCGTAAGCGTACTTTTCTGTTCTAATCCTGTTTGATTTTCATTATATTTATTACAGCCTTTTTTGGTTTAAATAATGAGTATTTGCTATAATTTATGTTGAGTTTGAAGTGGTGCTTTTGTGGTTTCAGTCAGAGGAGGGGAAAGGGTTAGCATGAAAAATTTTATGAGACATTAATTTACAAATCAAAATAACACTTAGCACACAGAACAATAGTAACAAATGGTGAAAATGGGTGAAAGTAAAGACCGAACTACTAAACTAGCAAATATGTCAATGATGCTTATGTACTATATGGAATAAATATGGTGAGTACTAGAATGGGAGGCTTTAATAGGCACACACAATTATCATCTAAATGTGATAAATAAAACTTTGTGGGACAGTTCACATGACTGAAATATTGTGATGGATTGATGGATGGGCATAACCTAACCATATCCTTCTGTGACAAAGTGATGGACTTTGTGGAGGTGGGGAGAATAGTGCAGGCAATATACCTTGAGTTTAGCAAGGTATTCTTATAGATGACTGAAGGAAATACTCCAAGAAGACTGAGGGTCTTTTTTACAAGGTAGATTATAAAGAGGAGGGCAGTCAGTTTTCTGTCTCCATGGGGACACTGAATGGGTTTATATTGCAAGGAGGAAGATATAGCTTGGATATTAGGAGGAACTTTCTGACAAGTGTTGCTAAACACTGGAACAGTTTACATAGAGAGATTGTGCAATTTCTGCTGTTGGAAGTTTTTAAGAGTATGTTAGCTGAACGTTTGTGTGGTATAGTTTACAACAGGGATAGCCCTGGATTGAACAGGCAGTTGGAGGAGGTGGCCTCTTGTGGTTCCTTCTATACTTGCTTTTTTACAAGTTTGTCAAAGTCCTCAAATCAAAATTAACTTTGTATACTTCCCAGTGCGTAGTTTCAGGAAGGCTAGAAGTCTCCCTGTGGGTAGCTCTAGACCCTGTTCTGTATTCCAGCCTCTGGTTGTAGATACACTTATGTTTAGAGCAGTTTCAAAAGGGGAGGTTTTCAGGACAGTAGCTGTTAAATTCAAACTGGTATTTGTGGCCCAGCCAGGAAAAATACAAATGTAGCAGAACTGCTTTATCTTTAGTACTTCAATCATATTTTTGCTGCCAACTTCCCTTTTGATCAGAAAATAGTCACCATTTCTCAAACAATCTTTCTTTTGCCCTGGCAAATGATGATTATTTGTGTTTCAGTAACTCTGAATCGGAGGAGGAGGAGGAAGACGAAGAGGAGGAATGGGAACCGAAACGCAAAACTGCAAGGAAGCCTAGGCTGCCAAAGACAAATGAATCAAAACCTAAAAAAGTTGCTGCTCCACGGTCAACTGGAGTTAGGAAAAGGGCTGGGAAGACAGCAGTAAAGGGAGAACCAGTAGGTATCTCTAACTAGCATATGTGCCTCTTTTGTAAATGTTAAATAATGGATCAGAATTTTCCAACTCAAGACTGCTAAATTTTGGCATGGAAAAGATGCATTTTGACACTATAGTAATTGACCTGATTAGAATATGCCTCTGCTGCGTGCTGAGATTTTGAAGGTAGCTCTGGTACCCAGAGCAATCTAGCTATGTCTGAGAACTGTGGTAGATCAGCTTGTGAGGAGCTACAGTGTGACATACAGTGTAGACATAGGATCTGAGCACTCAAAGATTCCATTGACATTGCTTTGGGCAGTGGATGCTCAGGATTCTTCATAAGTTTGCCTTTCTTAGGCATTTAGTGACCTAATTTTAGGTAGTCAAGTCTGAGAACATTGACTAGAGATTTTAAATTTTTATTTTCTTATTTATTTATGACTTTTTCAGCACTGCCGAGCACTCTTAGATTTCATTGAAAATTATTGAGACTTGAATGTGATCAGCACTTCTGAATTTATAGCCATTAAGACTAAAGGTTTTTTTTTTAAATGAATCTATTTATTTATCTCTGTGCTAAAGTTCCATGCCATATCACAAAAATGCTCAGATTTGGGAAAGAATGTGGGAATGGGTTTTGTTGTAGCAGCCGGCACTCCATGCAAGGTTTAGGTGCTCAAGAATGCTTGACCTAGAAAATATCCCGTCCTGCGTGGAACACAGTGCATTTCTGTCATTGTCAACCTTTGAGAAATCTATTCCTGGATTGGCAAGAAGGGCTTTATTGGAAAAAAACTCAGATACCAGGAGGCTGTGACTTGTATACACAGCTTAATGGCAGGGATGGAACTGGAGCTCAGCAGGGTTGGGCTGATTCCACGTTCAGTCAGACAGAGCACTGCCTTTCCCAGGTAGTCTTGTGTTATGTTCAAACAAACAAAACAAATTTGCACATATTGGGTGCATCTACATGTGAAATGAACATAATACAATAAACTCCAGAGCAGTCTGAGCCAGAGTCAACTTCTCCTGGGCTCAGTAATTTGAGCCAGGGCAGAGCAGCCCTGGGCTGCCAGGAGGCACAGGAGGTCAACCCTGAGCTCTGGGTGGCAGTGTTGGGCAGCAGAGGGCCTGGCAGGAGTTAGGTGTCGGGCCTCTGCCTAACTGAGTTGACTGGGTGCAATTTGCGTCGAGCGGTCACTGTCTACACATGCGTTTAATCACACTTAATGACTCTGCCATAAAACTACTGTCCCCAACAGTACTATCTTACGGTGGAGTTAATTAATTTACCATTTCCTAATACCAGCCCACGTGTAGACTGTTACCCTTAACTAGAGCTAATTAGTCTACTCTGCAGTAAAGCACATGTGTAGATGCACGCATTGAGTATTCAGTGAAACCTGTATTTTAAGGATGGTCTCCTGTAGCCAGCAACCTATTTTAAGGAGCCAGTTTTAAAATATTTCCAGGAAACTTTTATTTAACATTTTAGAGCCCACTTCTACTAGGCAAAAGACAGCTCCACCTGTAATTAAAGGCCTGATTTAACAGTGTACTGAGCACCAATTATGTCTCTAAGCACCTCAAAAAGCAGTGCCAAAACTTGAGAAGATAATGCCTATTATCAAGTCCTATATTATAGAGCCTTTATACTATAGTGTAAATGTTGCTAGAGGATTAGTCCATGGTATTCAGTGCTTAACATATTTTGATGATTCATATTCCAGGATTTATCTTTGCCTATTGATGCTGGTGAAGACAGTAAAGGTGGATTGCAGCTTTTACAGCCTAAAGAAGACAGACCCACCAAACAGAAAACCGCAACTAAAAATCGAAAAGTGCCTATGGGAGCAAAAATTAATTCAGTTCAGAAAACAAGCATAAGCAACTTAGAGAGTGATGAAACACCCTCAACAAGTGCTCCTCTGGGAACTGAAGTGAAGCAGGAGAAATCTGAAGAAGACTTCACATTTGATGAGCCACCTTTAAAAAGGATAAAATCAGCAACATGTCCTCAAGGAAATCCAGTAAAACATCCCGGAAGCACCAAAGTGAAAGAGGAATTAGAAATGAATTGGGACATAGTGCAGGTATCCAATCTCTTACTTTTCCTTTATGGTAGCTGAGCAAAGTTTACAGTAGCTTACAAAACATAACTAAGTTGTCCTGCTGCATTTCTACTTACTTTAGTTGGAGCTCTAGAGAGTAACATAGGCAGACAAGATTCTTTGGTTAAATGTGGTATCTTTTATTAGACCAACTAAATAGTTGGAAAAATTGTACTTTGCAAACTTTCAGGCACAAACACCCTTCTCCAGGCATAGGGAGACTTTCCAGGCTTCATCATGAGTGCCAGGATTTAAACTTTAAGTAGGAGAAACAAATTGATTTTAGAATGTGATGCCATAGTGTATGTCAATGCACAGTACCATCAGAGTAGAGGTTATTTGCAGATTTTCTTGAAACAGTAAAGCTAATCAAGGAGAAGATGTAAGCTTTCATCTTGGTAGGTTAACATTGAAGCCTCATTATAATCATTTAAATAAATATATTGCTAGAAATCCCCTGGTTCTAGGAGGTTAGATGTGGTTTGGAGCAGTGGGGGAAATAAGGTAGCACATTATAGCTTAATTAACTGGAAATATCCAGTTTATTACTATATTTAAAAAGAACAGACTATAAAAGTATTGCTGGCCTTGATGTCCTTGAAAATCTGCTGGATTTCAAAGGGAAGGTATTCTTGCACATATAAGTGGTAAACATATTGAAGCTCTCCTATATCCCTGTGTATTATTCAGACTTTAAATATATCCTATTTTGTTGACCAAAGCTAGCTGTTCAGTAAGGTAAGATTTGTGTAGCCTAAGAAGTGTTACTTCTCATATAATTTGCATTATCACAGGCATGTAGCATAATGTGATAATTTGCATTATCACAGACTGTGGCATTAAAACTAGGGGACTGTGGCGTCAACACCTACACAGTCAAATGGGTCGCTTACTGGCTGGAGGGCTGCACCCAGAGAGTGGTGGTGGATGGGTCAATTTCGACCTGGAGGGATGTGGGCAGTGGGGTCCCCCACGGCTCAGTCCTTGGACCCGTGTTGTTCAACATCTTCATTAGTGACTTGGACGAGTGGGTAAAAAGCACCCTATTCAACTTTGCTGACAACACTAAGATGTGGGGGGATATGGGCACACTAGAAGGGAGGAATAGGCTGCAGTTGGACCTAGACAGGTTGCAGGGGTGGGCAGATGAGAACAGGATGGGTTTCAACACTGACAAGTGCAAGGTACTGCACCTGGGGAGGAAGAACTAGCAGCATACCTACAGGCTGGGGAACTCCCTTCTCGTCAGTGCGGAGGCAGAAAAGGATCTTGGAATCATTATTGATGCCAAAATGAACATGGGCCAATAGTGTGGGGACATGGTCAGGAAGGCTAACTGCACTTTGTCATACATCTTTGAGTCTGACACGGGGTGCCTTGAGTCTAAAAAGGTGAGAACCCGTACAGTAAACCTGCTAGCTTAACAAACAAATATGTTTGCTTGTGGCAGGCCTTGGCAGAAAGGACAAACATTGAACCGTGGGTATGTGCAAATATAATTCGCCTTTTTAACGATGAAAACACAATCCCCTTCATTGCGCGGTACCGAAAAGAACTGATCAATAATCTGGAAGCTGATGCCTTGCGAGAAGTACAGCAAACACTGGAAGAACTTCGGTAAGTAAAATAAATGGAGCTTTGTTTATGTGCATCTGTCCAACAGACTGGGCCACAATTAGCAGTAACATTTTGAATCCAATTTGAAATATGATTGTGTTAACCTAATACCCTTGTGTTTTAGTACTGTTGCGAAAAAGACACATGGGACAATACAGAAGTTAAAGAAAGAAGGAAAGCTATCAGGAAGTCTATTAACAGCCTTATTGAACTGCAGAACTTTGGAAGAATTAGACCATGTGGTTAGTGTGTTAATCTTTTTTTGAGTTGTATTAGTAATTCTTTACCTTTATATAATTAAAGATCATGTCCTGAGAAATGTTAACAAGCTTACTAAAATATCACTTCTACCTCTAACTAACAATATGCTTTATAACTTCCTTTTTCAGTATGCACCATATAAAACTGGAAGCAAGGGCACCAAAGCCCAAAGGGCTAAACAGCTGGGATTAGAACCCGCTGCTATTTCTCTCATTGAAAACCCAGGAGAGCTCAACCTGTTTTCTTACGTCAAACCTAATGTTAAAGGTAAGCACTCAATTCCTGTGTACAGTAGTAGGATTTAGAGTATATCTTAAAGAAGGACAGCTTTGTTTATTAGTTGTCTCTGTGCAGTTGAATGTTAATGTGATGGTCCCACATTGCTTAGTTGTTTCAATAATGGATGTTGTGGAAACATCTAAATGAGATATTTTGTTAATCTCTTGTCTTGCCTATCCTTTCACTTACTAAGGGGTATAATGGAAAAGACTGGGACTTAGGGATGAGTGGGAGGGAGGCCTTTCATTTTTGGATGAAAGCATGCCTACTGTTGACGAGTAGGTAATTTCCAGTATTAGAGCAGATACTTTTATCTATTGCAGAAATACTTCTCTCTTTTGAAATGCAATCATGAATGAATCTGTAGGGGGCAATCTCTGACAATAAACTAGGAAGGTTGTTGCAGACTTTTTCTGGGAGTTAAGTTAACAAAGCTTTCACCTTCCTTCCCCTCCCATTTCTACTTTTGTTTTGTATTTTTTTTTGTTTTGCATTTATCATACAAATGCTGACTTGTTCAGTGAGGCTTGCTCCTATTTTTTCCACAGTAGGAATAATATTCAAAATACTAATGTGAACAAAAATGGGTAAGTTCAAATGGTTCCAGGTTAGCATTGTGGATCAGTTGGCAAAATTCCTGGTTATGTCTCTCTCACATTTTAGAATGCCTTAAAAATTCATAAAATAATATATTTCAAATATTGCTCTGTGAACTCTCACCAGATGTTTATTTATGACTCCAGAGTGTTTAGAACCAAAGGGGGCAAATTCATAATGACTGTTGAGATGAATTATTTGGAATACCAATGCCTGTATTTTAGAAGGTGTGCTGCTTATTGCAGTTGCTTGTATCATATCCATTTTAATATTTGGAATGAATTAATCTGTCTTCAGTACTGTGCTAGAAATGATATATATCTCATCTTACATTTTTGTAATGCTTTTCATCATAAAGGACCTTGAAACATATGAAGCAGTACATACAGAAAGAAATCTGGCAATGTTTTCTGTCCTTGTTTTGGTAGCTAAGTTGACAGCCTTCCTGCAGTATTAAAAAAGAGGAATTTTTCATATGAGTAAACTCCTAGTTTTGCAAAAAGTTTTAATAGGAAATTATTGTCTTTGGTTTTTAAGTTCTCAGTATTTTTAAGCTAACAGTAATATGCTATATGTCAAAAAACAAGATAAAAGGAAACAAAAGGAATTAACCTTTATATTCAAAGGATGTGGCTCAGATTATGTAGTCAAGCATTTGAAAGTTAGGAAATGCCAGAATTTAAGTTCATGGTATACTTCATTCTTTTTGCCCTTTTTTGCATATTCACTATAATATAATTATTAATTACATTATTGTATACTATTTTTAACATACTGCCTTCCTCACCATGCTCACTGGCTGATAGCTATTCATTAGCTGTCTAACCTCCATTCAGAATATGGTCTTTTCCTTACTTACTGTCTTCAGTCCCAGTTCTGGATATGAAATGGCTTGCTTCCTCATGCATTTGATCTGTCACTATACTATTTGAGTATCTCATGGGCATAAATGAATGGTGCCCAGTTTGAAAAACCTAACTTTTTTCTTTAATAGTTCTTTGGACATTTGAAACACTGTAAAGAAATTAGACAGGGGACACTGAAACGAAAAGATAATGAAACAGGGATAATGCAATAGAGCAGTAGTTCCCAACCTTTTTTATACTGCAGAACATCATGGGAGTGGGATGGGGCGCACAGATCTGGCTGCCTCCCTTCTGGGGCTGCCCTTTCACCCAGCTTTAACCCCGCACGTGACTGCTGGCAGTGGAAGCTGCTCACCCAGGCAGACAGATGGGGGTCTGAGCAGGGGGCTTATGCCACAACCTGACAGCCAACCTTTCGCAGCCTGGTGGTTGGAACCTCTGCAATAGAGCACCTGTGGCAGCACTAGGATTAAAAATCAGTAAGTTTGACTGTCAGCCCTGGGTTTCTTCCTCCAGACTGCACTGGTTTTTTAGAATTGTTAAGCACTCTCAGCTCTTATTGTTTTTTTATGATTTGCAGGTGCTTAGCACTTCTTAAAATGAGGCTGCAAGTTTGTCAGTTTGGTGTTCAGAAGTGAAGCTTGTACAATTAATGCTGTTTGCCAAGATTTTGGTTCAATCCATTGGCCCAATATCATATTAGAACTTTTCAGCCTCTTTACCAAATTTAGGGTACATGCTACCAGATGACAGATCTTCACATGCATTCACTGAACAACTGCAACAGAAGTGGTCTTATGGAAAAAAAATACAACATCTGGCAAAGTTAGAGCCTATGTTGTAATACCTTATGGAGAAGGGTGTAGAACAGTGGTTCTCAACCTTTTTAGCCTCAAGGCACGCCCCCATAACTTTTCTGACTTTTGTGGTACCCCAACTGAGAATTGCTTAACTAGAATCTAAATTCAGAAAAGATATGGAGGTCTGCCTTGAGGCTAAAAAGGTTGAAAACTGTACACCTAGTTGGTGCTAGGTGGGTGTAGCGGAGATGCAACTTAAGCCTGCCATGCCTTGTTCTTTCCACTGTTTGCCTCCTGCCTCCTTCTGGTCTGTACTGGAGGGAGCACCCTCTACCACTACTGAGGCTGTTCCTGTGGGGTCGTCCATACCAGTGGCCATCCGCACGGCCCTTCCTGCCAGCACTGCATCATGGGAGGAGCAGAGGGGATGAGCCAGGCTGCAAAGCATGACTGGCCCCACATCCATGAACCTGGCCACTACATTTCTGAAAGTATAAGGACAACCAGTACAAGGTTTGGTGTGAGGGAAGGTAGCAGCAGCAGCAGGCCTCATAGAAGCAGCCACAGACATCAGTGGGTAGCTGGGGTGGGTGCAAGGTGCTGGATGCAGGGAGGAAAGTGTGCATCTCCTCGGGCAGAAATCAGGGGACACAGTACCTTCAAAGGGATCTCCTGGCACCATAATTGAGAATCATTGGTATAGTATTATGATTGCATTGGCAGCTTTAATTCTGGAGTATTTACACTTCATTAATATCATTTTAGTCTTTCTTTTATGTAACCCTGGATTTTATTTTTCAAAGATAAAACAAAAAAAGGCAAGGACACATTTTATGTGTGTGATGCTAGGAACAGCCGTTGCATTTTTCCGTGGACAAGCTGTGTTTGTGTTTGTCCCAGAACAGAAATATCCCAGGGTTGGCATGTGCATACATCACCCTTCTAATCAGAGTTTAGTGGGTGACAGAATGAACTGAAGCTTTTCTGCAGTCTTTGGATAACTGTTCAAATGTCCTAGGGTAAACTAGGATCTTTTAAGATTTATCCCAGGACAGTGAGCATGGATGTCTGAACGATTGTTTTCTGTCCTGGGATAAAAGGGTTCATTCTGGGACAAATGTGACATCTGTTTGCAGCTTATGTATAATGTGCCATTCCATTTGTCAGAAGCAGGGTTTAAATTGTAAAACTTTTCTATGATAGGGTATATATTCAACACATCAGGTAAAAGAATAGATTTCAGTAACTGTTGCTGGAGTAGGCTGTTACTTTCAATGTACCAATACCTAGAGAGAAGATTTGTAAAACTGTAACAGTGGACACATCTACACAAGATGCCTTTATGCACAGTGGACTGTTATACTGCGCATTAGCACGTCACAGCAAAAACCGTGCTAGTGCGCAGTAGAATTAGTCTACTGTGTGTTAAGTGTCACAAAAAACTTTACCTTTGCTACTGCGCATTAGTGCAGCAACTGCGCCTTTATCTAGTACCTTATATTAGAGGTACTAAACTTAATGTGTAGTAGCAAAGTCACATTAATGAATGTGTAGATGCACCCAGTGGATTACATATGCATAAATTGTCCTGTTTTATAGTTAGTATAGACAGGTACATAACTTTGGCAGAGTGTTTGAGAGGCCTTTCAGTTAAGTAGACATTTGGAGGCTGTGGATGTCATTTGCCCTAAGTGGGATATGAAGCCTTACTTAGTTGTGAAGAGCAGGTCTAGAACTCCTGAAGCATAACTGAAGCAGGAAGCTGGTGAAATAAGGAGTCTGCTGGCAGTTAAAAGGAACAGTTCAGGAAGATGAATACATTCATAAGAAGCTAAATGTTTTCTTTGCATCAGTCTTCACCTCTGAGAATCTAAGGGGAATCCTCCCTCAGACGTCTTCTTTTAATAATAATAAAGTTGAGGTACTTCCAGAGATTGAGATGTCACAATGTATGCAAGGAGGAAATTGATAATTTGCAAAGCATACACTTACCAGGAAGTCCAATAATTTTACAGGAGCTGAGTATGAAGGTAACAAAAATATGCAGCCTCTTCTTAAAACTATTCACTATTCCAGAGGATTGGAGAGTAGCAAACATTGTGTCTATATTTTAAAAAACAGGTTCTGGGGTGATCCAGGGAATTACAGACTCTGAAAGCCTTAAATCTGTCCTCATAAATTGGTTGAAATAGTAATTAAAAATTAAATAACAGAACATTTGCATCTGACAAGTTCTGGCCAGCATGATTTTTGTGAAGGAAAATCATGTCTCATTAATCTCTTGGAATTCTTTGAACGTGGCAGTAAAGTAGTAGATAAAAGAGAACCAGCTGATGTAATTCATTTAGCCTTTTTTAAAGGCCTTGACAAGGTACATATTTTTTCAGGAGGCTACTGGAGAAGCTAACTAGTCATATAATAAGAAGCAAAGTGTATATATATATATATATTTTTTTTTTTTTTGGATCAAAAGCTAGCTAGGAGACAAGTGAAGAGTAGGATCATATGATCACTGTTATGACAAAAGGTTAAGTGCAGGTTGCTTCAAACTTCTCTGGGAGGTTTTTTGTTAAATATATTACAGATTGAGAAAGGGGGTGAAGTAGTAAAATTTATAGAAGACACAAGATGAAATAAGCCAAAACCAGAGCAGACTGAGGAATGTGAGAGCTCTGAATAAGCTAGGTAAAAGAGCAACACGATGGACAATGAAATTCTGTGTCATTAACTGCAAAATATGTAGACTGGACAAATTTAAGCCATTTGTGCACTTTGCAGGGTTCTAACTTAATGGTAGCTGTTTAAGAAGAGGATCAGGGTCATATTGCAGATAGCTCAGTAAAGGCTTTGCTGAAAGGTTTCTGCTAGAATTGCCCAAATAGGATGGTTCACTGCATGAGGAATGGGATGGCGAATAATGCAAAGATGTTTTAATACATTTTGTATATATTTCTGGAGTTGCCTCATTTGGAAAACTGCTTTATTAGTCTCTCGATATTGTAGGATATTGCAAAACTATCGTAGGGTAAGAGTATGCAGGGTTCAGAATCATATGAGAATGAACTGCCTGGAAAAACTTGCAAGAAGATCGCTTGAACACGTTAGGATTATTTTTATCTGAGACGGGACCAAGAAAAGAGGAAGCAATTGTAGATACATATGGTACATTGGGCAGACTCATTAGTACTGCTAAGTGTTAGGGCCAGTTAGCCCTCCCACAGTGCTGTGCAAGCCTGGCTCTACTGCTTCTAGTTAAAGAGACAGCCCACATAGAGCACTGCTGTCAGGTGTAGTGAATTTACAGTAGATCTAGGATTTTGAGCAGGTGGGGGAGTGCAATCAGTTTTGGGCCCTGGGCTTCTGGCGCTAGAAGGATATGGTAGGTTCCACTGGCCACCCACCTTGCTTAGGAAGAGGGGTTGGGCATCCTGGTTCTGGCAAGATAGGGTCTTTGGTTCCCATGAATGACTGAAGGAGGAATTGAAAGGAGGTGTAACTGGATCCACCCCTGGAATTACCTCAGAATTAACCTGTGGCCAAGAACTTAACAAGATTTAAAAGAGGGACTGAACACAGTGGACTGATGTCAAGAATATTCAGAGTTGTTTTAATTATTGATAGCAACATTTTTGGAAAAGATGCTTGACTTCTTTGTTTTGGGGTTTATGCTCACCTCTGGTTAACAGACACCAGGATGAGATGTAATGTGTTGGGGGAATGAATAATCCTAAATCTTCCTGTTGTGAGGTTCCTTCACCTTATTTTAAGGCACTATGTACTGCCACTTTCTGACACAGGCATAGATTAGATTAGTTAGAATCTGGGTTTTACAGGAGAACATCTGTTTCATGATCTCCTGGTTCCTGGCTTAGAGCATGGTCCACAGAGCAGGGAAAAATTTGGAGTCACCATCTTCTCTGTGACAGCCCAAGATTCAATTTTCTGTGGCTTGCTGGCAGGAGTGATTGGAGGGGGCTAGAGGGGAAGATGAAGCTTTCTGCAGATTGAGTGTTCAGTGATTTCAGCAGCAGGCGCCAGAAAATAAAGATGATGTTTTTCTGTAGTCCATAACTTTTCGAAATCTTTCTTCAAACTATTAGAAGTATTAAATCCTTTAAATAAAGAAGATTGCATAAAGAAAATAGGCAAACTTAATGCAGAGATTGTTACCTGCTCCTCTACAATATTGAAATGTATAACATTTATAAAAAAGATGGGTGCACCGATTATTACCCAACCATATCGGCCAATGCTGATGTGATAATGGAAGGCATTTTAAAGTACTGACATAAACCATATATATATGGTTTATTTTTATTTTTTTTAGCACGTTCCAGCAGCCTCTTGCGCCACGTGTATCAGTGTCCTGGTCCTTAAATGAATTGAATGAGCTTTAGTTCAAGTGCCCCCACCACCATTTTTAAGTATGGGGATGCTTTTAAGTGGAGCAGAGCCGAGTGGGACAAGGGTGGATGTGGGCTGCATCAGGGATTTCCACTATGCTGCCTTTGCCCCAGGAGATCTGCACTGACTGTGTGCCCCCTGCCCGCTGAGCAGCACGGGGCACAACTTTCCTCCCCCACTGCTGCTGGGTATGCAGGGGGCACACAGCCATTGGAGGGCTCCTGAAGGAAAGGCAGCAGAGCAGAGATCTTTGAGCCCACAGCAAGAAGCCCACATCCACCCCACACATACATCTGGGGGGGGCCACATGCCCCCCCATGCCTCTTTCAGGGGGTGCATGCAGTGGCGGGGAGCTACCCCTGCCCCACACACACCCTCTGGACTAGCCGCCTGTGGCTCTGTCTTGTTCCCTCCCCTGGCCTCAGGTCCAATGCACTGCCCTGGTTGGGCAATGCCACCTGCCCCACTCCCTCCCTCACTGTGGAGGCTCAATCTGTGGAGTGCCCTGTGTCTCACTCCCAGCAGCCCCAAACAGGAGCCCTTGCAAGTTAGTATGCTGTCCGCCTGCAAGGGGAAACCCGCTGTTTTCTGAGTGAACACAGGGGCCCTGGCCCTGTGAGGGAGAGGGAACCCAGGTGTCCAGGGCCTTGGCCAGAAGGTATAATTATTGGTAAACATTTAAGGTGCACTGATACATTGGTCCCATATCGGATCGGCACTAATATAAGCATTGGCAATGCTTAGGAGGTGCATGTGCACCCCCTGAGATTGGCGGTGCACCCCCTGAAAGAAGCACCACTGTTGCTGGTGGTCGCCACTTGCCACCCCACCGCCCTAGCTGCTGACGCCATCGGTGGCGTCTGCGGGTGGTTGCCGTGCCCTGCCCAGCCTCTGGGGGCACTCGTTCATGGATATAAGAAAAATTGACAGTATGGGTAATTTGCTTTTTTTGGCTGATGTGGCCGATAATGTTACTGATAAATGCTCCGTGCATGCATGCAGCCACAGTTTCACATTCAGGTGGCCAGGAGTGCAGCCTGGCAGCATGGAGAGCAGCTGGGTCTGCTAAGTCTGTTGTGAGGGAAGGGGTGTGGGGGAGAGGGACAGATCGAGGCCCCAGGGGTGAGGGAGGGAGTGGGGCTGGGGCTGGGGCATGGGCAGGCTCTGCACAGCTGGGGTGGGGTGTAGGGAGGAGGTGGCAGCTACCACCGCTGCACACACCCCGGGAGGGCATGGAGGGGCGTGCCCCTGAATCTGCGTAGGGCATAGGTGGGCTGCTGCTGCGGGCTGGAACTGGGTGGAACTGTGGCAACGTGTGGCTCCCCCTGGCAGGGGGCTGGTCTGGGTTGCACTTGGGGCAGGCGGCAGTGCCACCCACCCTGATGAACGCAGCCTGGCCCAGGCCCCTGCTGGGTAGAGCCTGGCCTCAGCCCACAACAGCAGCCCACCCTTAAATTTACATGTGTAATCTGTTTCACTTTGCCTAAATTCTCTCAAATTGTTCTCAGAAATTTAACCTGATTATTTTTAATAACTGATGATATATGTAAAGCTCAAATAAGTCTTTTTATAAAATTGGCTAGCTAGTGATGTTCTGATATTCTTCTCTTACTTAAAATTGATTTATAGCAATATAACTGATCATCTGAGCTGTAAAATGGCTTTGTTTTCACATACTTTAGAAAGGAAAGTTGGATAATACTAATTTGGGTATTGCAACACTGCCAATTATTCTAGTCCCTTGTACTAATTTTATTTTTCTTGTTCAATTTTAGTAATATATTTGATTGCTAATGTGGTAATTTATAATGCTCTGTTTTTTAGGCATTTTTTTAATTATTAGATATATGCTTTTTTTTAAGGCCTTTCCACTGTTCCCGAAGTAGAGGCTGGAGTGCAGCATATCTTGGCTGACATGTTTGCAAAAGATAAAGATACACTGGATTTCATCAGAATATTGTAAGTTTGGAAATGTAGGGGTCAATCATTTATTTTGCAGATTATATGGCAATATTCTGGCTCTTTTTGGGGTAGTTTTTCTGGCCAGAGACAGTCTAGTGCTGGAAATACAGTTGATGAAGTGAACCTGAGTTCACAAAAGCTTGTGCACTTGCATGCTCTCTTGCTTGCTCTCGCTCTTGCTGTGTGTGTGTGTGTGTGTGTGTGTGTGTGTGTAAGCAATGGGTATAATATGGGTTAGAAGGCAAGGTAGATGTGCACCTTTATAAACTCACTATATGTGTGTGTGTGTGTGTGTGTGTAGTTAGTTAGTTTATAAAGGTGCATATCTACCTTGCCTCTTAACCCATATTATGCCCATTGCTTTGTTTACTTTGTTTTGTTAGCCCTTAGTCTGGTAAATTTATTTCTGAGAGAGGCAAGACAAATCTGCTTTGGAGAAGGCAAGATGTGTGACCTCCCTCTCTGTCTCCACTCCTCACCCCAACTTTGGTCCTTTCCAGCTTAATGGGAAATTATGGAATTAGAAACTCCGTTCCTTTCCTGCTCCTTCAACTACAGCTTTTTAAGCATTTGCCAGTGTATGGTATGTATGCACCCTGAAATCAGGTTCTTACAGTGGTACTGGATATTGGTGTAATTTGGTGCATCTTTGTTCACATTGCATTCCCTCAGGCCATGGCTCAGTGGAGACCATAAACTTTAATAGTCAATTCTTTGTGGTTCAATACTTAAGATAATGTGTCAGTGTAATTAAAACAGTGCAAAGACAGTGGTCTTATGCTTTAACATAAATATCAAAGCAAGCAAGTTGTTTGTTTTTTAAGCAGAAGGCATTGATCCTTCCACTGTGATTTGAATTTATTTTCATTATAACACATGGTGCCTGGGATTTAATGCCTCTATCTGAAGAATGCTGATTCAGCAGAGGGCTGATTACTATGACTTTCTTATTCTGTTGTATGCTGGTCGGGACAGAGAACAGATTTTGCTGGATTAGTTATGGGAAGCAGTTAAGACAGACAAAGTCATTTTCAGAAGTATTCTGTATATCAGCGTTTCTCAACCCGTGGTTCATGACCTGAAAGTGGGTTGCAAGAATATATGAAAGGGTCATGAATAAACATGAAAAATAGAGTCTCCTTTAGAGGAGAAAAACATAGGAAACTGTGGGCTTCCCCTTGCAGGCTGGCAGAGTTCCAGCGTGCAAGGGGCTGCTTGGGAGAGCAAGAGGAAGGATGATCAAGCAGGGGGTGCCACATGCATGTGCGCAAGCACACATACATTTGGCAGCCAGGCAGTATGGAGACAACTCCTGAGGTTTCCCACAGGTAAGTCTATGGGGTGGGCGGGCACAGATAATGCATCAGAGGGGCGGGAGAGCACAGGCAATGAGTTGGGGGTGGGGGGCACAGAGGGGGTCATGTGTTTTTTGTTTTTTTTTTTTTTGTCCCCCCCTAGATTTGTGCGCCCACAGCAGGCACGGGGCTGCCACCTGGCCGGACCGACACAGGCAGGAGCCATCTCCGTGGTCCAGCAGCAGGACCCAGCACATGAGGGCAAAGCAGAGTGGCAAGACTTGTTGCTGCCATTGCTGCAGCCACCGCCAGAACCTCCATGCCAGCCACACTGCCAACAGCGCAAGGAGTAATGGGGAGGGGGGTTCACTGCCCTCACCTCCTCCCGCCGCCAGCTGCTTGCATGCTGGGTCACAGATCTACCACAGCTGCCACCACCGCCACTGCTTCCC